TGTTGACTCTTTTTTATGTTATGGATTTGATTGGTTTCAAGTTTGATAAGGGATGAATATCAGTTAGAGAACCATTGAAAACTACTAGCAAGGATTACTGGATAGCTGTTTTGCGCTAGTTCGGGACTCTCCAAGAAGTACGCACCCATAACTCCACCACCACGGATCGAACCAAGGGGACCTGCAGGTCACGAGGCGAGCTCATTGACCAATCGGCCACTTCAATCAATCCGTGATGCTTTAGCACGACCACTAGCTAATGTCATCCATGGGTATTTGTCATCACACCCGACTTAATGGATCCAACAATAATGAGACATATAAATATTCAGGCAATACAAGATATAGGGGAGAATTTATAAAATGATACATACATACCAAGACTACGCATATTATCTTTGTTTTAAGGGATGTTTATTATCATTGTGATAATGATTATTATTGAGGAAACAAGCGAACACAGGGGTGGTCTTTTGTGTCAATTATTATAAAGGATCAATATATAAGGAAACTATACTCTGAAAGGAAGGCAGAGAGAAAAAACAAACAAACAAATTGAAAATAGGTTACCCCAAAAAACATACAATTGGGTCTGACTTTTGAGACAGACATAGCATTGTCTGGTTCATCATTTATTTTATATATTTATTTCTACATGGAGAAAAAGAGAGAGTGAGAGACTTAAAAAGCGAAAACGAAGGTTGAACAATGAACCTTAGGTGAATAAGTATGGAACGTTCACACGTGTGTGTGTTTCAGAGAGAGAGAGAAAAGTGAATAATCTATCTACCACTAGAGATTAAGACGACATTGGAAAAATCAACTCCATTTTATTCAGTCAATTTTTTTTAAAGGGAATAAAATAGTTATTGAATTGGATTTTTTGATTTTCCCGTCGATTGATTGGACCGAAGTGCTCGGTCTCAGGTTGACATGCCGGCTTCTTGTGCAGATGCTTCGACGATGTCTGGGCATTTAGTTAGTATTTAGCTGGTGGATGGTGACTAGCAGTGGAATCCAGGATGCGCATTTCGTCCTATTTGGGACTCGTCAGCTAGCTGGATGTACCTGCATTTCTCAGTGAGTGATGATGTTCCCACCGAGGCTCGAACCCATTACCCATAGTTTCGAACGCCAAAGCGTTATCCACTAGACCACTTGGGCCACGAGAGCCACCTCTTGTACAAGCCGACATGTCAACCTGAGACGGAGCACTTCAGTCCCATCAATCGACGGGAAAATCTAAAATTCAATAAAATTAATATGACCCGTTGCACAAGAGGTGACCAGCTCTCGTGGCCCAAGTGGTCTAGTGGATAACGCTTTGGCGTTTGAAACTTTGGGCACTGTGTTTGAGCTTCGGTGGGAACATCATCACGCACTGAGAAATGCAGGTACATCCAGCTAGCTGACGAGTCCCAAATAGGACGAAATGCGCATCCTGGATTCCACTGCTAGTCACCATCCACCAATTGTACCGGAACAAAATAGTATTAGGACAATAGTTAGGATGTGTTTTGAGATAAAGATTATGTAACAGTCTATACAGGAGAGTGTTTTTTGTAAGCGCCATTCTGCAGACAGTAATTTAAACGGCTTACACAAAACGATACATGTGTTTGTCTGTCCCAATCTTCGTAACATACCTACCTGCCTACCTAGCGAGTGACAATACTTTGCAAATGTATACAATTAGGGTTATTTGAAACAAAAAAGAGACAAAGAGATGGAAACGACATTCTGTCGTGCGAGGAAAATTAGTGCACTACGGACAAAACAGTGTCATATTAAAACCTCTATATAGTATTGAATGAATGCACTTTAATCATGAACATTTCATCAATCGATTTTATTTGTTTTCTACAACACAAAAGCAAAGCAGTCTGGCTGAGTTTCAACATAGGACATTGCACAGAAGAGCAGCAGTTTAGGTTGTCACACGCCATGTAGCACACAAAGACAGAGAAGAAAGTAAAAGTACAGTAAAAGTACACAGCAGACTGTAAACAGAGGTATAAGACAAAAAGAATAGTAATATGGAAGAACGATATAGTTCTATTGGGTATTATAAGTCACAAGGAGTGAATGCATCTGTGCCAGCCATTGAGAACGGTTTCGAGTCATATCTAGCTTTCATGGGTCTTTACCATTCGAGGACCCCAACCAACGTGGCTGACTTAAACTAACTGTTATGGATTTCATTGACCGATGCAACCATGTTTTTGTGTGAACACCGCTAGCTAACTCTTTTCAAACCTGACTCTATGTCAGCTAACATCGCCCGTCGAGGAAGGCGATGGCTAGGCATATGTAACACATGTCCTAACCATCTCAATCGGCGTAACTTCACAGCCTCGTCAATTGATTTCCTCTCCCTACCTAGCACTCGACGCCTAGCCTCAATATTGCTAACCCTATTATACCATTTCACACGGGAGATAAAACGCAGGCACCTATGACCAAAAATAGCTAGCCTTTTCATGTCTTCAACTCTCGATGGCCACGTCTCGCTTTCAGTCAGCCATAAAGGAGGAAGCGAACTGTTGAGCAGTACACACGTCCTTTGGATGGTAGGCGTATATATCACGTCTAAGCCAGAGACGGTGTAAACTGGCATATGCGAAACGAGCCTTCTGTGTCCATGATGAGATTTCGTCAGACATCAACCCGCTGGCACTGGCTGATGTAACTTCCCAAATAAGTGAAGCGGTCAATGTGTTCTACTACTTCACTCCCTATTTCTAAACTAGGAGTCAGTGAGGTCCAGTCCTGTAGCATCATCTTACATTTAGCGGGAGCGAATCGGATGCCAAACATTCGCAGATTACAGCTCAACGTGTTCAGAAGACTCTGCGTTTTGTCAGCATCTTCACCTAGAAGGACTATATGATCTGCACATTCTAAGTCAACGAGATTATTCCCTGCCTGGTAGCAAGTCAATCCCTGAGTCGCTGAAGTCACTTAGGGTTAAGTCCATTAGTACATCTATGATGAAAATGAATAGAAAACAGGATAGTGAGCATGCCTGACGTACGCTACTAGTTGTCATCACTTCAGATGACAACTCACCGTAAGCCATCGTCTGGCTGGATGAGTTCGAGGAGAGTGGCTTGATCAGTGCAATGTATTTTCTCAGCAATCCCTTCACAATTAAACATCGCCAAAGTACCTCTCGATCGACAGAGTCTAATGCCGCCCTTGGGTCAAGAAACAACGATTATTCGACACCGGTAAGTATGCCTATGTACCAGAATCTGTGGAAGGTTGAAGATATGATCAATACACCCTCTTCCTGGTCTAAAGCCTGTCTGGCTCTCTCGTGTTTGTGTCTCCCCAAGCACCACTTAGTCTACGCAATGTTGTTGGGCCTAGGACTTTAGATACTATATTAGTCAAGCTAATCCCCCCTCTGTGATTATCACAGGAAGACTTGTCTCCCTTCCTGCATATCGGGATAATCAATGACTTACACCAACCCGACGGGACTTCCTCTGATTCCCAGACGCTGCTTAGAACCTCAGTTAATGCAGACAGTAAACTGTCTCCACTGTATCTAAATACCCCCTGGAGTCATTCCATCGGGTCCCGCAGCTTTGCCTCGTTTCAGATTAGTGACAGCTTTTGTAACCATATTTAGGGACGGAGGACCTGTGTTTATATCCCATTTAGGGAGGTGTTGGATGTTTGGTAAGTTGAGAGTGGCTGTAGGCCAGCTAAATTGCCCCTCAGAGTGTTCTTTTCAACTTCCTAATCGTTTATCCTGGGAGCTTATTATGGTGCTGTTTTTCTCAGAGATTGTTTCACTTATGATTTGCCTTTTCCCACCTGTTTCCCTGATAAACCTAAATAGTTGTCTGGTGTTACCAATTGCCGATTCTAATTACATTAGTTACTAACTAGTGTAATGTGTCTAGTCCTTTCTTTGGTGCAGACTGAATTCTGTCAGTCAAGCTTGCAGAGTAGTCACCATGCCAAGTGGTTCACTACCACGATGCACTTCGAATTGTTGATATTAGATGGAGGCAATTGGTGGGGAGCCTTGGACCTCAGTTTCGTGCTAACTAGCACTCGTCATCAAGGCGTATCTGCGTTTAGACTAATGACATTAATTATTATCTAGTGTCTGGTCGAAGTATTCCTTACAGTCCTATAGGTTAGTCACAAAACAGAATAGCTTATTGTTAACATCTCTGACTGCAGTACTAGGTGAAAAGAGTCCAAATCTCAGAAGGAAAATGAGTTTCCTAAAGATTGCAGGTACGCCTTATTGACGAGTGCCTTCAACCATGTGATGTCGACAATTCACAACAGAACTGTGCATAAGTAAGAATAATAACATGGAGAAAAGATGAATGTTTAATGGATACAGGAGATCGCAAAGACTGAATGCATCTCCATCACTGAGCACGATTTTAAGTCGCATTACCAATAATCTTCAGCTACTGGTTCTTAATAACCCTACACTTCACTCTCGCAGATTAATATCATGTCGTGGTGTTTTTATTTTTCATCTCACCGCTAACCAACGTCGACTACGATTGTTCTATGAAGTAAGTCGATGACATTATCAACTAACTAACTACCTTTGTTACCTATATGGAAACTATATACTACTGATTGATTGAGATGAATAGTTGGATACTACTCATATCATCCAGTAGATCTTGCTAGTCAGATCGAGGTGACCTAAAACAGTGGACGGGGTTGTTTAGCTTCTTTCAAGCCGACTTCATCGGTGGTGTACTCGGGTTTGACTCAGCTCAGATAGCCGAAAATCACTTCGAACCACCACTCGACTTCTTGCTGACTACTTGGTCGACCTGGTCACGCTATAAATCAAATGCACAATTTGCAAAGTTCTATGCTGGAGCTGAGTCAGATCACTAACACACCTTCACCAATATATATATATATATATATATATATATATATATATATATAGACAGAAATATTATTACAATCAACTAATCAATCAACCAATCACCACCACCATCACCTACCATGTTTCATGTATTCAGTAATAATCATAATTGGACGCTTCTTCAATACAACACCAAATAACTGTACAAGATTTGGATGATTCAGGAATCTACAAATACAAAGAAAAAGACTTACTAGACTTTTTATCGACACACGACATCTACTTACAATAATAATTAATAATGAAAACAGTAGATGAGAAAAACATGATAATACAAAAAACAATAATGATAATAATAATAATGAGTTGGGCCGAAGAAAATCGATTGATTTTTTTCCCCAACAGAACTGTTGAAGATGACAAAATTCACCATAACTCAGTTAGTTGTCTACTTACTTCTCACCCATCTTAAAAATAAAACAAAAACAAAGAAACCAGATACTCTGAATAAATCAATTCTTTCTGGAACTATATGATATTATAATGTAGCGGTAGGGTAGGGTGGGATGGGTTGAGTCATTCGAGAAGCAGGTAAATAAACACTGATATGTCAGGAGAAGGATAAAGAAAATCCCAAAAGAACAGGACACAATAACATACATTTTGAGTTGAATGATTAGAGTGAGAAAAGACATGATAACAATTATCTTAAGTGTTGTCTGATAACCATTTGGAATCCCGTGCAGTTGGAGCAATGCGCAACACCTATTGCGTGTGTGTGGGGTGGTTGTTAGCGATAATACCTGGCTGTCCAAACCTCGGCATGTGGACCGGGTTTCGAACTTCTGTTTACTGTTTTCAAGTTGAGCGCACCTGGAGCAATGGATCAAAGTTATACAATCATCTGTATATAAATGAATGTATTTTATGATGAGGAATCGGAATACAGAGAACGAAAGTAATGACAAGAACAGATAGTTTTACCAGGGTGTAGCTTTGTCTTTTTTTTCTACGCCTTATCAGTTATGAACACAAACTGAAAATGGATTTAATGTGAGATTTTTCTAGAAGGATTAGAACAAAATCTGAATTTTAGTCTTCTGTACTGTATTCAGAGAGATAATCAGACTGTATAAAGCTTTTGGTTTACATCAATCAGTGAATATTATCCAAACAGTTAGAATAAATTACTTTCTCCTTTAAGATAAAGGTTATTCACACTTTAATCTGATACGAAGTATAATTCACTCTGTACTCTTATTGTGTTTACTCTTTGTGTTCTAAGTCTTTCATTGATTACTATGTGAAGGTTCGATGTTTTTTCCCGGTTCATAGCCATACCTTGTACGTGTCTGAGGACACTGCGTTTACACTGATCATTCTGAAACTTGTCATAATACATAGGTAGATGCCAAATCGGTATAACTTCTCCGTTTTTTTTAACAGGACTCTTTTCGGTGAGTTCATCATCTTCAGTTGCACAATCCTCAGAAAAAGTTGTGAATTCCGGACCACCAATGAGAAGACCCTAGATCTGGATTTCACAGATGATATATGTCTAACTTCACATAAACTCCAAGACCTAAAGGCGAGAACCAACAAAATGGCAGAAGAAGCAGCGAAGACAAGACTCCAAGTAAACACACAAGACGGAGGTGATGAAGATAACCAACTAGGCGCAACAACAACCAGCACCAATCACCATCAACGGGAGATTTAACAGAGGTTACCTCTTTCACTTATCTAGGATGCATCGTTTCAACTACAGGCACACGGAACGAATGAAGATGTCAACATCAGAATCGGAAAGTCAAGAGATGCCTTCATCAACTTGAAACCAGTTTGGACATCTTCTGCATTTTCAACACAAATGTGAATTCAGTCAGGTCTTCTATATGAGTCAGAAACTTGAACTATGTGTCACGAAAAGGATTTCCAACAGGTTGCAGGCTTTTATCAACAGCTGGCTCCACTCCATACTGAAGATCAAATGGCCAGCCAGGAATAATTAGCAACAAGAAACTCTGACTGGCTGGGAACAAACCAAACAAGAACCGATCGCTCAACAAATATGTAGGGGAAAATGGAGATGGATCGGACACACGTTGAGGAAACCGTCGAATGACATCGCGCGGCAGGCCCCCAAGTGGAATCCCAGTGGGTAGCGACGAGTGAGTCGTCCTAGAATGACATGGAGGAGATCGTGTGAGGAGGAGATGAGAGATTGTGGGTAACCATGGTTCAAGCTCAAGAGGATGGCAGAAGCTGGGACAAAGTGGAGATGTGTTGTTGAAGCCCTATTTCCCACTCGGAACTCAAGGGAGTATATATATAATAACAGAAGTTCTACTCGACAGAGGCAATCAAAGATAAATATGGAAAGATATCAAGTTATTAAATGATGTTTTTGATAATAAAATGTTGAATAATACAGCTTAAACTCTGTAAGAGTATCTAAGACGATTCGTTGACGCACGAAATGATTTACATAGAATTCACCCCATGATAAAAATCGAAGTCAGTGTAACAATCACTTATTTTTATCAAGACAAAGCAATACGAAGACATAATTTTTCTGAATCGTGTAATGTATTCGCTCAAAGCATTTCGAACAATCTGATCACACACGGACTTGTCATAGGAATATATACATGAAATTAACAAAGAGTTAAGAGGTGAAGAAATAGACTTAGGTCAAGTTAAAAAGACATATTCAAGGTCAAAATAACAATGAAGACCACTAAACCAAATAGCAGAGGTAATAGTACATCTACCATGGTAACAAAGTTTACCAAGGAAGATTTAGTGTGATGACGAATTGTTTTAGAATGCATAAAGTTGGTTGAAAAGCCTCAAACACGTTTTACAGATAAGTTTAATAGACATGTAAACATCAATTTTATGTGCTGTCTCTATAATATGTTTGGCAATGGAGGAGCTAGGTTTCCTGTTTTCACCATTAATAGGACCCGGGGATTCTACTTGGTTCTGGAGCCTTCTGAAGCCTTTACTTGCAGAGATCGATGAGTCCTCCCTATGTGTGTCGACGCGAACATTCAAACTGGTAAATACAGTGGGATGTGACATCACTTTTCGCATGCTCAAAGGGCTTAGATATATATATTGGCTTCACATTCTCAATTATAGTGATTTTAGATTAACATAAAGTCTTTTTAACCGCAGCCTTCAACCTTTGTCTAGTTGTCAAGCTGCTATGATGCCCCAAATAGGGTAGCTTCATGTACCCGTCTCTTTTAGCGGTGAATCGGAGAGTGGGTCTAGGCATTCTGACCACTTTATATCTCCCAATGAAGTTGTCTAGATAATTGTTATCAACTAGAGTTTGTGTCAACTTTATTTCTTCCTCATCAAATGTGTCTTCGGTGCATATTTGTTGAGTCCTACCGATGAGGCACCTTACTAAGGCTCTTTTGTACCGAACAGGGCAGAAACTGTGATAATTAAGATACCCTCCAGTCCAGGTAGGCTTTCTTTAAATAGATCGTTTCTCTGATCCACCAAGGCATTAGATTCTACGTGATAACCTACCCAATTACTCATCATCATCATCATCATCATCATCATCATCATATATATATATATATATATCTATTTTGAAAGTTAAATCGCTAGTGCACTGAGTTATGCCACTTCCAGAGGTTGAATTCTTGGCATAATCAAAATTTTTAATTCAGCCTTAGTCACTGGGATCTTACTGGAATTTATTTCCCCAAACTTTAAACTCCAGGCCGTGAACCACACAATTATAGCTTGAGGGGCAGCGATACTAACCAGTTGCCTAGGTTTAAGTAGTTGAAGTGGGACTTAAACCCGAGATTTGTCGGCTATAAATAGAATGCTTGAGCTGGTGAGCCACAACTTCACAAAAACATTTACACTCATTGTATGAGTAAATTAATTAAAACAGAAAAAAGAAAAGGGGGGGTGGACAGATAATAAAATTACCTCATATTTTTAGCTTCTTCAATAAAATCATCTTCATTCATAGCACCTTCAACCATTTGTTTAACAGCGACAGGAATGTTACGGAATTTACCACGTTTAACAACCTGAATTATCACAAAATGAAGAAGGCAAAGAGACAAAATAATCAATGCATACTTGATATAGTCCAGAGTCGAATATATCATGCAAAGAATAGCTAGATACATACTTTTCTTCTTATTGGTTGCAAGTGTTCTGCTATCCACTTGACAACATGTTGATAAGATGAGTCTGTCATGTCTAAAATGAGACAAAGTGGTAGTCTGGATTTGTGGATTTTCTGCACAGAATAGTCGAGGAGTAATCGATTCAGAGAATAACTCTGAAGTCAATAATGAGTCATTCTTTATTCGTTTCAAACACCTGTGTGATTTGTTCTTCAACATGAAAATTGGAAACCGTTTGAATCAACTACTCCTTGACTTCTATGGTCAGTAGAAAATCTACAAATCTGGACCACCATTTCGTCCCAGGTTCAGCTTATTATTATTATGTTGCCTAGAACCATAGTCAAAATAATTTAGTCAGTAAGGAAATCAGAATAATAATTATATTTAAATAAGGTATTAGAAAGACAAATATCTCGAGATGATATCATTTCGTAGTTTTACCGCCATTATAGCGCGTGGCTGACAACAATAAAAATGCGTTTGTAGAGAAGCCACACAGTGATTTTATCACTGGAATATTTATTGTCTAAACGTTTAAACTAAATATATCTAAGGGAATAATCATTTCTAATGATTCTATTCTCCTCTTCAAATCATTATTATTCTTTTATCAGTATGTATATAGGAAGTACATACTGCTTTTTCTTTTAAAAGAAACCACCTCAATCTCCACGATTATCCTACTTCTTAAGGGAGTAAGAAAAGGAAACGAGTGATTCAGAGAACAGATTCTCATCGGTGATTCCATTCATTAAAACTGTGCGATCGCAATTATATAGTTGTTTTTTCATTACTTCGTCGAATCACTTTCATACTGATCAGTGGGTGACTTTAAATTCTTTATAAAAGAATCGCTTTATTAGTGTTCTTTCAGTCAATTGGTCAATACTTTTCTATACAAAAAGAATTGGAGGATAGTACTAAGGTCATCTATGAATCCTTCTATCATATATAGCAGGTTGTTTTTAGGACTGATCTGCAGGAATTATCTCCCACAACAAGTTCAACCTAAAGTATATGAGGAAACACGCACAATCAGTAAAAAGGTGGCAAATTTCATGACCAAGTATATCAGTTTTAACAATGTTCACTTGTAAGTGAAACTCGATATTCTGATGATAACAGAATGAAACAGTCTTACCATTTACATTGCCATGAAGCCGATAATCAGTCGTATTAGTTGTGCAAAGTGTATGTGATATCTGGCTGCCCAAATGTAGGTGGGTTCAGTGGGGTTTAAATCTGTGACCCCAATGGTTGGAAGCCGAGTGTCTAGAACAACGAGTCACGGCTCTGTAAAATAACATTAAGATTAAGGAATAACCTTAACACAGTGAACATAGGAATGTTCTATCCTTTTTTTATGTCTGTGAGACATGGGTATTGAAGATCTGAAGAGACTAGCTGTCTTGGACTACAGATGTTTGCACTCTATTCATTGCGTTACGCGGTATAAGATAATAAGTAATATTGGGGTTAGGGAGTAGACTGGTAGGTAGACACGACATATCAATCTAACAGGTTGTGAAACTACACCGATTTAAATGGCTAGGGCACGTGTTACGCATGGCGAGCCACCACCTTCCTCGCTAAGCAATGTTAGCTAACATAGGATTAGGTTGAAAAAAGAGCTAGGGGTGATCAAATCAAAGCATGATATCAATCCATCAGGTAATTTCACAGTTAGCCTGAGTCAGCCACATACGCATGCAGGTATCGACTGCCACACTGGGGTCTTTAGGAATACTAAGCGAACCAATGGTGTGAAACTGTCAGTGATATGACTCACGATCGTTCTCAATGGTTCACATGCATTCACTCTTTCTTATCTCATACATCCATTAAATCTTAACTATTCTGCATATGCTTATTCTATCTCCCGTACATTTGTGTGCTATATGGAATGTGGCAAACAGAACTGCTGTACTTTTGTGTGCGCATGTCAGATGATTCTGTCGTATCGTGTGCTCTATTAATTTCACTTATATTGACACAATTAAAACTGATGAGATTTTAGTATTTCAAAATGTCTTTATTGAAAGTTTAATTTAATTAATCTTCCTTCTCATGATCTGTTTTGCAAGGTTTTATTTTTTCCACAACAGATGAGAAGTACTTCTGGTTGGGTGTGAGAATAGGCAGCGTTATGTCACCAATTAACAATTCGGGAACGAACACTGCCTTAGCTAAGTAAACTTGAGTAACTGGGTAGTATCATCCGTCGCCCCAGCTCCAAGGATTCTCAACTTGGAACAAAAGATGAAAGTTGTTTAATGCTTGTTATGATTTCTAGTGGTTCATGGGGTGAGTAACATTTATTCGTGACAATTTTACCTATACATAGCTAAAGTAGTTGCGTCGGTGGCTACGGTAGAATGTATAACAACTAGAACAAGGCAGATCTGGGTTCGCTTCTCAGTCGATACACTCTTAAACATCTTGTAGTTTATTGTCCATTAGTAAATGTGGAAAAGAAGGAAGGTTGGGTGTAAAACAACGCCAGTGCTACTGAATCTACAAAGATCGATGCCTTATGTTACACTTGGAAGTCAAAGAAACTTCTATGTAAAGCTCCACATTTAAACTTAGTCAGTAAGTCAGAAGATGAAGATTTGAAACAGATTTCAACATTTAGAGCGGTTGAACATTTTAAGACTTCTTGAAAAGAAAGCTGTAAATTAAAATCCTATCGAGTGAACTTTGACCACTCCAGGGAATAAAATAGTTTACGGATAATAATAATAACAAAGGTCAAATGAAGATATTTGTACATTGCAAAAGGCGAAAAACAAAGTCAACTTACACCGAATTGTCCTTTACCAATAGGTTCTCTTTCTAAGTGTAATTCAGCTGGATCAAGTTCAAACTCATCTAACCCCATGCCAGCCGTAACAGGACTTTCTCGATCTTTAGTTGGTGGTGATCGAAGACGTACTACTAATCCCCCAGAATTATGTTTATGATAATGTATTACATCACTGATTGTTGGAAATGCATGTTTTTCAGATAAATAATATTGTGCTTCCCCATTGGTTGTTGCTGTTGTTGATCCAATCTTAGGTGTATTTAAACCTGTTCCAGTTGAACCACCACCAACACCACCATTCATATTAGTACTAGCAGTAGATGTTGCAGTATTTCCACCACTGTTACTGCCGCCGCCACCACCGCTACCGTTTACATGTCCATTAAGACTGGATGATTCTGTTCTATGAATATGATAATGATGAACCTTTAGCTTTCCCGGTCTAAAGCAAAAAACAAAACGAAACAGAGATCAAAAGAGGAAAATTCTACATATGCTTTATTCCTCTAAACAGTTCAACAAATCAAGGATTTCCTGGCTGATTACCAACTGATTTCAGTTAGAGAACTCAGGAACGAGTACTGGACAGCTTTTTCATCCTTGTTTTGGACTCCCCACCAGGACACATCCAAGGATCGAACACAGGACCTTTAGGTTACAAAGCAAGCTCATATACACCATTGAGATACTTGGACAGAATCCAATGGTACATTAATTCTAACCTCTGTCACAATTCGAGACATACAGCGCCACCACCAGTCGGTATCATTGGCGAGTACTTGTTCTAACGCCTAATCTGGTGGATCAACACAGAAATTTCCTATTTAGACTGATTTCTTCAGAAAAAAAGGAAAATTTATCACAAACAACTTTCTATACTGCTTAATGTGCTATTCTTTTTTGTAGCTTATGAATTACATTCGATGATACATGAAAATATTTAAATAGCTTCCTTCATAAATGAAACAATAAATAACAGGGCATTAAAAGACAACTTTAATCAATTGTAACATGAAGATGAAGCATTCAGCAACCTTAGCATAGGTTTTATTTACTAAAGATCCCAGTGAAGTGCTTCGACTATCCTCTCCATCTGGAAGTTCTAGTAGTATGTACCACCTGCGCTTATCCGGGGACCCTGTGGCGTCGGTATCGCACTGAGCGCTAGAGCCGAAGCTGCACTGCTCGACTGGATTCCCATTAACAGTCGTTTATGTGCTGTGAGGCTGGAAGGTTATACGAAAGTAAAGAGTAGTAGGCCAGATAGGCGGTGTCTATTTGTTGTCTCTGCCTATGCACCGACGGATTGCAGCCCGGATGGAATGAAGGATGAGTCTGCGAAGCAAGACTGTGCAAAATACGTGAAGGATTGACTCGCGAAGAGCAGGCTGGGTTTCGTTCAGGTCGTGGATGCATTGATCATGTGTTCACCCTTCGTCAGTTGTTGGAACACCGCCACACGTATTGCAGGCCAACGATCGTTGTGTTTCTTGATATTAGGGCTGCCTTCGATTCGTTGGACAGAACTGTGCTCTGGAACTGTCTGTTAGAGAGAGGTGTACCTGAGAAATTTGTTAACATCTTGAAAGCCCTATACAGAAACACCTCAGGTAGAGTGAGGGCATACAACCAACTATCACCACTGTTCCCAACCAACAGTGGGGTTAGACAGGGTTGCCCAATCTCTCCATTTCTCTTTAACTTTGCCATCGATGACATTCTGGAGTCAGCTCTGAAGGATGTGCGTGAAGGTGGTGTAGATCTGCTACCTGGAGATAGACTTTTCGACCTCGAGTATGCAGACGATATCGTCTTACTGTGCGATAGCATGCAGGCTGCCCAAATCGCACTTAATCAGTTGGCGATCAGTGTCTGTAAGTATGGTATGTGCTTTGCGCCGTCTAAGTGCAAAGTACTGTTACAAGATTGGCAGGAGCCTGTACCTGCACTCACTCTTGCAGGTGAACCGCTTGAAGTTGTTGATAAGTTTGTGTACCTGGGTAGTTGTGTGAGTGCTGGCGGAGGGGTGACGGATGAGATTTCCAACCGTATAATGAAGGCTAGGGTGGCATACATCAACTTGAGCCACCTCTGGCGCCGTCGCGACGTTAGCCTGGCTGTCAAAGGTCGGGTATACAATGCTTCGGTGCGGGCTGCGCTGCTCTACGCCTGTGAAACCTGGCCTCTCCGAGCTGAGGATGTGCGGCGACTCTGCGTGTTCGATCACCGCTGTCTCCGCAGGATTGCTTGCGTTCGATGGCATCATCGCGTGAGTAATTCTGAGGTTCGGCGGCGTGTGTTTGAACACAGTGGAGATCACCATTCATTGAATGTCGTCATCTGGAAACACCGGCTCCGGTGGCTTGGACATGTGCTGCGAATGTCACCCCAGAGGCTTCCGTACAGGTCTCTGTTCGCTAGCCCTGGGACGGGATGGAAAAGGCGGAGAGGTGGTCAGTCCATGACGTGGCGTCGTGGGATGAAGGATTTTTGTGCTAGATTAGCATCGGTTGGTGTGTCACGACTCCCTGGTTGGGGTCCGAGAGATAGCTCAAATCGATGGCTCGAAACGTTATCGGATATGGCCAAGAATCGTAATCAGTGGCGAATGTGTTGCGATTTCCTTCTTTCTTCCCTTCCCGATGATAGTTAACGAACACTGTTTGAACTTGTTAAGCATGACTGTTTTCCTTCCAGATGAAGTTCTTTATCCGTTCTCTACTTATATATATTTTTTCTTTTCCTTCCTTCCTTTTTTTTGATCTATGTTGTTTTATTATTATTGTGTGGCGCATCTTTCTTGGTGCCATATTGTACCAAGTTTTTTATGCGTTTAAATAAATATATTTACTAAAGCTGAGGTCGATGCTACAGCTGACAGATTGTTGAATATATTGGACACACAGTACAGGTATTAGTAATGACGCGAAATCAAAGCTGAACATGTGAAAAAAATTGTGTTAGGAAACAAAACAACGCGAAGAAGTAGAAATACAGGATAATGTACTACTACTACTAATGATAATAATAAGCACTTTATTCCAAACAATAATAATTGTAGGGAATGAAATTTCAGAATTGTACCTAGTGCAACAATTTGTTTCGTTTTACAAATAAATACAAATAAAGTGTCAAAAATAATAAAACTGAAAAAGTGAAGCTAACAGGAAGAATAATATATGCAATATTAATAATACTGGTAATAAATTGCTGTACACCCACAGATTAAGTAGGTTTATAAGCTCTTTTCTGACATCTGTCTCTCCATACAACACCTGACCTATATATGGTAGGGTTGAATTTTTATATTAAGCCTTGCAAGTATAAATTCTTATGGTTTTATCCAAGGTGATACAACAAGAAAGTTGATAATAAAGAGGATGTCCAAAATCCTATAAAGATGACTTTAAACAACTGCTTGCAAATATTAGTGTCTACCATGAAAAGGTTGGCTGTCTTTGATCGTAGATGCCTGCGTTCTATCTCCCGTGTTAAGTGGCATAATAAGGTAAGCAATATTGAAGTGAGGCCTCAGTCGAGTGCTAGGTAGGTGGGAAGCGAAATCAATCAATCAACGAGGTTGTGAAGTTACACCGGTTGAGAGAGATGGCTACGATATGTGTTACACATGCATTCCTAGCCATCCATTGCCTTCCTCGACGGGCAATGTTAGCTAACATAAGATCAGGTTGGAAAAGAGCTAGTGCTGGTCACACTAAAACAAACATGGCTTCATCAGTCAATGAAATCCACTACAGTTAGTTTAAGCCAGCGAGCCAGCCAACCACAAAGGGAGGTGTACACTGGCTTCCTGGTTGAGGTCCTCAGAATGGTAAGAACCAATGAAGGCTAGAAACAGATGATTGGTGATATGCCTCAAAATTGTCCTCGATGGCTGGCGCAGATGCATCCACTCTTTGTTATCTATAATGTTGAATAAAACTATATTGTTCTTCCATATTATTACTTTTTTGCCTCATATTTCTGTTTAGTATCTCTCTTTACCCTCTTAGCTTGCTCTGTGTGCTACATGGAGTGTGGCAACAAGATATGAGACGACCGACAAATATTGCTACAGAAATTAATACCAAGATAGATAATATTCGATTTTGAAATAATGGAGATTTGTAGCTCAGGTGGATGATGTTAAATTAGTTATGTTATCTAATTTGGTTGATTTAATTGCGAAGCTTTCGTTGTCCTTCTAGACAGCATATTCAGCTTAGGTTTTAGCATGAAATGGGCTAATTTAAATTCTCCATGAATGAGATACAATTGCATCGTTTATGGAGAATTTAAATTAGTCCATTTTATATTAAAACTTAAGCTGAATATGCTGTCTAGAAGGACAACGACAGCTTCGCAATTAAATCAACCAAACTCAGATAACAGAACTTATTCAATAATATTCGATTTATTTCCTGTCACAGTGCTGTACATATTACAAGAATCATGGGACTGAATCAGTCCATGCAAGTCTTTTTCACGCCTGAAACTAAAACTAACAGTCTGACATTTAGAAGGATCCAGTATAATAGCATTTCACTAGGATCATTGGTTAATCTCAGTAGATAGGCCAATTATTCATATCAGAAAAATCTAATGTAGAAACAACTGGGTTAGAAATTGTCAGATTATCAGCATATTTAGTGAAATTGACTTTTAAACAATATGGTAAGTCTGGCAAAAGGGAAGTCACGTGAATCCAATGTGATATGATTATTAACAATAAATACTGCTCAAAACGCTATCTAGTTTAATAATCCTTTACACTACTGTGTTATACTATCATCGAACAAACTTATTTAAATTCGAATCATACTCTGTCACACTACCCAAATTCACTCTAACATTAACTGAGATGTCATCTAGTAAATATTATCAGTTGAATTGGATAGAATGAGATCTAAGTCAGGGGACTGATTGCTTAATTACTTAAGCCAGTGAATCACACGCACACATACGCACATCTGTCTAAATCAATACCAGTAAGATGAATATCCCTCAAGATATTTTCAAATATTGGAGAAAGTCACACACGAAAAAAATGCAAATGAGGCAAATCAAAATGAGAAGAGAATTAAAAACCAAAATAAAAATGGATACACTTAACCTAATTATGTTAAATATTTTAAAATAAAACTAGACACATTGATGTGAATTATCTTTAAAGCAATTAAGAGAATGAAGGTAGAAATTACAAATCAAGTTTTCTTTAGTAGTTTATATAGCAACATAAAATACTACCACTACCAATAACAATAACAATAGTATATTTGATGACAGGAATAATCGATTTTCTTCATTAGTAGTAATAGACAAAAATATATATACAATAACGAGATGAGACAGAAATATAGTGTTGGTTAATTCGTTAGGAGAATATTAAGTATTTATAAGCAAAACAAAAAGCGTCTAGAATAACCAAAAAGTGTACAGTGA